GCGCGCGCTGCCGGGCCAGCTGCAGCAGCGCTGGCTGCTGGGGTGACAACAGGGCACTGGCTCTGTCCCCAGCCCGGGCACCATCCCCTTCCTCATCCCAATCCCCCTTCTAGCCTTGGTCCCTATCCTGGTTCCATTCCCTATCCCGATCTCCACACTGCTCCTGGTCCCCATCCCGGTTCCCAGGGCAGGCCCCAGCCTGGTCACGGTCTCCGTGGTGACCGCGGTCCTCCCCAGCTGCAGCTTTTCCTGCTCGCGCTCCTGGATGCGGACGAGGTGCTGGGCGAGCTCGGGGCGGCCGAGCTGCTCGCGCAGCCGCCGCTCGATGCTCAGCACCTCCCGCGAGATGCCCCCGAAGGCCACCGTGAGCTCGTGCACCAGCTGCCGGTAGCGGGGGAAGTCGTAGTGCGGCGCGGCGCTCAGGTACGCGCGGTGGCCCCTGGGGACGGCCGGGACGGGGCTGGACACGGGACCCGGGCACTGAGCCCCAAAGTGCCCGGAGCTGCCCCCCTTCCCCCTTGGTGGCCCTCCCCCTGTGGCCACTTTTCCCGGGAAGGGCTCACTAGCCCCTGGGCAGCTTAACCTGCCCGCTCGCCCACATGGGGCTCTTTGGCCACGCAGGGTTTTTTTGGTGCTATTTTGGGTTGGTTTGCCAGCCCCGCACGTAAATCATCCTGTGTGCGCTGCTCAAATGGGATGCAGGGCCCAGGGTGCTGCGTCCCGCTGCCAGCTGGAGCTCGTCAGCCCGCATGGCATGGCCAGGGCTGCGGGATGCAGGGATGTGGAATGCCGGAATGCAGGATGTGGGATCCGGGCTGCAGGCTCCCTGGCTGCAGGATGTGGGATGCGGGCTGCCCAGCTGTGGGGCGTAGGGATGCAGGATGTGGGATGCGGGATGCGGGATGCATGGCTGCTGGCTGTGGGGTGTAGGGATGCTGGATGTAGGACTGCAGAATGTGGGATGCAGGATGCAGGATGCGGGCTGCATGGCTGCCGGCTGTAGGGATGCTGGATGCAGGATGGGGGCTGCAGGATGCAGACTGTAGGGATGCAGGATGCAGGATGCAGGACGGGGGCTGCAGGGATGCAGACTGTAGGGATGCAGGATGCA